TTGAGCTCACCACCTAGGCAACACAGATGAACACTAGCAGAACAAGTGGCTAGGATAAGTTCCTGGCGAATCACAGCAACCTGCTCTTCCACTGTCTTCTGTTGCTCAACCTTCGCCAGCAAGCCCTGATCCTTCTTGTCCTTGGCTACCTTGTTCTTTGCCTTTGCCTTGGCCTGCACTGCTGCAGGCTGTCCTGCAAATAATAAGGGGAACCAATATTCAAAACAAACCTGAAGACAGCTGATGCAACAAAACACAAAACTCCTGCGGGTTGAGTGATGCCAGCGCCATCTTTGACAAATTTAAGGATATCTTGGGTCGCTGGCGCCTGGCTGGGATCCAAGCTCATCCCCGTAAGCCTCTCAAGTCGAGCATCTGAGCCTGTCAAAACACCCATGGCACTCTGGGCATCAACATGAGCCGTCAGGTCAGCGACTCTCTCCAAGCTTTCTGTTTCTGTCCGCTTGCGGCTGGTCACCACCCAATATGACATGTCCTCAATTGATGTAGGGCAGTCTTGGTCAGCAACGCCTCCACCCCTCCGGACAATGGATTCAATCTTTTGCCTTAAAATGCAAAGAAAAATCATTAATATGTATGGACCGCAGCATGGAACAGCTAGTGTACAGTGTTTAAATTGCTGTCCAAGTACTCGGTAAATCCCCGGACCCGCATCTGAGCAACCGTAAGCAGTTCCATCCTGGAGACACCTTCCCGCTTTTGGGACGCAACAACCTTCAATTTGCACTCGATTGCATCCGGATCACCTTGATTTGACACCCACTGTTGGAACAGCACATCCTTTTGCCCTGAAGACCACATCTTCCCCATCTCAGGGAATTTGACCATCTTCTTAGCATTATTGCAAAATCTGCTCATCTTGGCGTAGGCCGCAGGGTGTGTGCGGGAATTGATAATTGCTGCAGTAGACAGCGGAGGTTCAACCTTTTCAATCAAACCAAGGGGAAGGTCAGGTGGCTGTGGGGCACCCTGCTGAGGCTGTGGCAAGGCAACCTCAGGCACCTCAGGCATTTTATCTGCAGGCTCCTCAGGTTCTTCATCAACAACTTCCTCCTGGTAAGGAGCATCCACCAGGGGGGAACTCTTCCTCAGGCTCCTCATCCAAATCAATTTCCACAGGATGCTCATCTTCCAAAGCACACTCATCTTCAATCTGGGTGTCATCAAACGCACCACACTGAGCTGCTGCAAGTTCAGCCGCGCTTGCCGGGATGGTTTCCTGGCTTTCAATGCGATCAAACCTCAATGAACCAGGAATCATCATACTTGAACCAATGGTTTGGCAAGGACTGGCTAAGTTCAATGCCGCTTGTCATTCTTGTCAGTTTGTTCACCGACCATGTTCAATCCACGGGCCAAAGTGTCTGTCGACCTCAGCACAGAAAGCAACTACAAAGAAAAATTGTCATAGCTCTCTAAGACGCCAGCTTGCCACGGAGCAATTGGTCCTGCAGATCTCCGCTGACAAGGGCAAAATAGACAATGTTTGGAAAACAGTCCTTCACATTACTTCCAGCAGACTGCTTCTCCGACTCATTCAACTTATTCAACTCAGGCGCGCAAACGGACTTGGTAGCACGCCCAGAAGCCGAACTCTTGGCTGCTGCCTTTGCACTTTTGGTTGGCTTCTCAGCCGGAGGTTCCTTTGGTTTTCTTTCGCGTTTCTGCTTTTTTTATATCTCCCTCAGGAACAGCATCCTCGGTAGAGAGAGTAGTGTCTGGCTTCTTACGACTCCTCCGCTTTGGTTGCGCTTCCTCTTGCCTGGTCGCGCCTCCAATCAAACTATCCAGGATGAGCTGACACTGATCAGCTGACAAGCCTGACAATTCAGCCAACTGCGCTGCAGTCGGCTGGGTGTCAGCATCCTTGAACGCTTTCAAAGCCGCCTCCATGGCCCAGGATGAAAGCAAAGGCAAGTAGATCTCTGAGCACTAGAAAATCTTCAAAATCATCAGAGGCGCTCTAAGTGCCTGGATACATCCAAAAGTCCTTTAGCTGTCGGAAAGGTTCAAAAAGGTGTCGGAAAGGTCCCAAAAGTGTCGGAAAGGTCCCAAAAGTGTCGGAAAAGGTCTCAAAAGGTGTCGGAAAGGCTCCAAAAAGTGTCGATGGTTTTTTGTGGTTTTTACGCTGTTTTCACGTGTTTTTACGCTGGTTTCGACGCTTGTGCGCGCGCACACCTTTTCTGAGGACCCAAAACACGGCTACACATTCTCAAAGCCATTCCAGCTTTGCCCAACCCTGAAAAGGACAGAATCTATTACTTTGTAACATCTGCAATTACAGCCATTTCTCAAGCCACTTTCTTGTAGCTTCCCCCAAAGTCACTTCCCACCGTCCAGTGGGTTTAAAATGCTGAGATTCAAGCAAGTATTTGATCGGAAGATCAAGTCGAGCCTCAATCGCCCACCAGTTGTCCACATATGTATACACATATATATACACACACAAGTTTTCTTGTATTCTTAGGCGCTGGCTTTCTCCCAGCCATCAATCTCCCCAAGATCCATGGCCTGGCAACACCACACTGTGGACAACATATAGTAGAATCCAAAAAACATCGCCTTAAACAATTCGAAATCCGTGGCCAGAACATCCAATTGCTGACATTCAATACGGGGACATTTTGGGAGCACCTGCAACAAATTTGCATTCATTGCCAAGGTAGAGGTAATCTACACGAAAGGAACTGGGGTTCTGGCAGGCCAGTCAGCATTCTGCCAGGCTTTTTTGAGGATCAGTGCCATATGAACTCCAAAGCATTCAGCATATTGCCTCAACAGAAGACAGGATTACACACTCGCCCACAATTGAGGGGAAACCTGACCATCAAAAGTTGGGGCTAGCTACTGGCTGATAGTTAGAACTGAACCAGCTCCACTCCAAGAAATGGTGCCATCATCTTTGCGACGGCGTTTGGTCAAAGGCTCCCCCCTAAAGCGCTTCAAATCACCAGGCTGAAGTTTTCCAGACACTGCTGCAATCTCCTGGAGCAGGCGCCAGTCATTGGAAAACAGTTTCTGTCGCTTGGGCGTGAACTTGAAGAAGTGATAAAGTCCATGCCAAAGACCCACACTCCACACCTGCCCAAACTCAACCCAAACGCACCAAAAAACAAAGCCCGACATGTCCAGCAGACTGGAAGAGCTAGCAAGCCTGCCTGAATGTGAGTCACCAGGTTCACAAAGGAATGGTGGATCTCAAGCACCGACCCTTGTGGCTGTTCTATCACAAACCTGCACCCCAAGCAGGCTGCCAACAGGCAAAGCAACATGCTGCGCCACGCCAACAAGTTGCCCAATTTTATGCAATCATACCCTTCATTACCATCAGGGTATAAGTAACTCCTCTGATGTGTCCCACTTGACCTGAGAATGCGCAAAACCACAGAAGCAATTGGACTCACCAAACCTTTCAATTGAGGTTCTCACGGGCGACAAAAAACTGGAGCACGGCAAAGCAACCACTAGCAGCCCATTCTCCTTCAGTCTCTTGACTTCAGAGACTGCCAGCCTAAATGCAAACACAGTGTTCAGATAGTATCTTCTGATGCATCCTGCGCAGCCCCAAAACCTTGCACTGAGCCACCAACAAGAAGCCAGCCGAATCTGAAATGTCAAACGCTCTTCCAGCAACATCGTAATCACGGTCCAGGCTGGTTCCAGTAAAACCACCAGCCTGCCAAGCATCAACAAACGCAGAAGACAAGCGCAGTAAAGTTTGCAAGTTCGCCTTGGTATCACAAGAGGGTCCAGCCTTCCGTAAGGCTTTGCTGAGCCAAGCTGCCCCTGCATAGATCTCCACGAAGTCACGGTCCTGCTCGACAAACCAAATTACCCAAGGGTTTATCAGTGTTATTTACCAGCCTTATCAGCGGGAACCAATGGAGTCTGTGAAAGCAAAAGGCAAACCAGGATCAGGCTGGCTGGAAGCCGCCACTGGAGCATTCTCAAAATAGACATTACAAGCTACTGTCCAAACTAACTGGCACAAACGGCGCTCGGAAACATCCATAAAAGCCAGCAGCCAAGAATCAAACAAATCTGACCAACTGCCATTGGTTCAAAAAGGCTGATGCGATCCAGTTTTGTGACCACAAACTTGGCTCAATCGCAAGGGATTTCCCTTGGCGCAATTCCCAGGCAACAGAACATCTCCATTGCAAGGCAGGCAATTAATGCCTGCACCCCCCTCAACAAAATCAAAATCAAGCAAATTTTCTCCTCTTGAGCTCTCGCTCACTAAGGGTTGACAAAAGATCTGAGCGCTCAGAGCTGAGCATCCACATTTGTCGCGCTTCACTGTGCGAGATTGCAAGTTCCGACCGCTTTTGTTTTACAAAAGCTGCCATGACCGCCTGGAAATTTCCTGCCGAGTAAGCACTGTTACTACCTTCAGCCTTTGCTGATGGCTGTGGCTGCAATGGTTCAGCAGCCTCCTTAGCTTTTCCTTTCTTTCCTTTTTCATTCTTCTGACTGGCCTTGGCCTTCGCCTTTGTGACATTCTTCTTGATTTTCTTCTTTTTTTTTGACTGATCAGTTTCAAGTTCATCAGTCTGAAGAGAATCAGCTTCCTTCTCGGCCTGTGGTTCCACAGCAACTGGAGGCGGGAACTCCTTCTGCTCCAGGGCTTTGGACACCTGAGACAAAATACTTTTTTTTGCTGGCGAATGCTCAACAAACAGAACACCCATGAGGACCTTTGCACCATCAACTGGGGCAAACACACAAAGCGGCAACAAATATTTGTTGTCCCGGCGGAGTTCATCTGACTTCACCGAAGAGGTAGATTCAAATGAAGTAGACTTGGTCATCTTCTCAGTTTTCAAAGGCCTTGCAACTCCCTTCACAGCCTCCTTCAAGGCTGCCTCTAAGCGCACCCAATCAAAGGCCCCACACTCTTGCAAGGCCTCAAGAGGATTCGATGGCTCTTGAGCAGATGGCTCCTGAGCAGCTGCCTCTCCATCAACAATTTCTGCGTTTGCAGGCGCCAATTCCCAAAACTTTGTTTTGGCATCTCTAATGGCTTTAGATTTGGCGCCATGTTTGGACTGCCTAAGGAGCACCTTGAACTTTGAACAGCACCCTCTCAGCCCAAATGCCTGCTTGGCAGCCCACTGTTCCAATACCTCCAGCGCAAGCCCGAGAGGCTGTTTGTGGTGGGTTTTGTAGAACTGGAGCACTGCAGCCCCAATGACTTCTTCAGACAACCTGCAATCTGCAGGCAGCGAAATGAGAACCCCAATGATGGCCTCCAACGAGAGCTGCAAAACAAAACCAAACAATCAATTCTTTCAACCCAGATGCACTTTCTCACAAAAAGCAAGAACATCCAGTTGGCCTCACAGTTTAGCTCAACGTCCCGAATCTGGACAACCTGGTCCTTCTCAAACAGTTTGTCCGAGTACTGCTTGACAAATGAAAATCCGGCCTGGAAAGACAAAATTTGAAAAATATTCAAGAGTGTCTTGAACGCTCCCAACGAGCCAAAACTAAATGCACTATAACGCCTGCCTTCTTGAGCTCTGGAAAATGAGATGCCCAGGCGGCGCATATGCCCAGGCGGCGCATATGTCATTTACCAAATTGGGTCTCTCCCCAAGTTGTTTCAAACGGGCTCCCTCTCTTGTCAACATGTCTGCTTGAATCCCACGACCCCGACCCTACAAACCCAAATGGCTGCGATAGAGAAAACCAATCAAAGTGCACAAGTCTGCGAAAACGGCATGCGCGACGCTGAAACTGGAAAGGTAATCGACTTGAAGCATGCAGGGCACTTGGGGTAGCTCGCCATGGCTGCCAAGTCCGCCATCTCTTTGGCATTGCAGGTCCTGGGACAGCACACGTCATTGCAAGCCTATGAAAAAGGATGCAACCAGTCCTCGCGACCAACCATCACAGACCTAAGTCCATTGAAAATGCAGTAGGACTAACAAATCCACACGCAGCAAAAAGAATTGCCAAACATATCTCCCCTTTTATTGTCGCTTGACTGGCAATCTTGGCTGGCAAGGCATGCTTTTGGCCTGAATCCTCAGAAGCTGGTTGTTGGAGTCAACGGAGAAGGCCATGCCTGC